GTGGTTTTATTTTCTTCTTTCAATATGGTTGAATAGAAAATATGATTTTAGGGGGGGTTTCTTTTCCGTGTTTTTCCAGAAAATGTCATCTTGGCATCAGAAATCGCTTACCAAGTTCAGCTTTTAGTTTTCTATATAGCAGTTTTTTCGACCCTTTGGACTAGATTTCTTGGGAGGGCATTTTAGGCATTTTACATTGTGTTTTTTTTGAATTCTCACGCGAATCACGTAGAAAACTTAATTTTGAGGGGGGTTTCTTCTTTGTGTTTTTGCAAACAAATTCATCTAGGCCTCCAAATTCAGCCTCTGTTCTGGTTTCCTTTTAAAAAAATGCACATAGCAGCTTTTGGGCTGCTGGCAGCCGTGTGTGCGCCCAGCGCGTGCGCGGCGTTCATGGGCGCGCATGGGGGGCTGTCATGGCCCCCTCGTCAGGCCGCCGTGACGTCATTTCTTCTTTTGGGCGTTTCTCCTTCGTCCGGACTCCAATTCAAGTAAATTTTTTTTTGAACTTGACTAATTTTTTGCTATCTTTCCAACGGTGTACTCGGTTGACCCCAGTTCTTCCTGGATAATTACCAATTTACCCTTTTTTCCTTAAGTGCTCCTTTTTCTTCGTCATGCCGTTTCTCCTTCGTCCGGACTCTGAATCATGCGATTCTTGAGTCCATCTTGATTAGTTTTTCGTTGTCCTTCCAGCGGTGTGCTCGGTGGCACCTGAATTTACAGTTTTCAGAAATGACTATTTTGCCCCTGGGGGCTTATTTGTCATATTTTCGATCTTTTGCTTCCGCATCAGTTCTTGTTGAGTTCCAGGACCTCATGGAAGGTCACTTTGACTTCTTAGAGTCTTGTTTTCTATTTTTGCTTCCGCATTCGGATCCGTCATCGGATCAACCTTACGGTTCATTACAGGACATGCTGGCCTAAAAACCATGGTCGTCACAGGTGGTATCAGAGCATCCGGGTTCGAAAAACTTGGACGACGGGTTTTGGGTGCATATCATGCTCACGTTGTTTTGCTTTGATGTGTCATTTATATCTTGATAACATGCCTTCTTTGATAACATGTCTTGTATGATAACATGTTCATATACTTAGATGTTTTGAGAAATCAATCATTGGTTGAACATGCTTTTGTGTATATATGCTTCCTGATAACATGTTCTGTGTCACTATCATGTTTTGGTGTGATAACATGTCTGCGTGCTTCTTGATAACATGTTTGATTTGATAACATGCCTATTTGCTTATGTGGCAACTTGTTTACTGCTTGTGTGAGAAGATAGTTATGCTACATTGCATGCTACTTGTTTACTTTATGTCGGGTTTTTGTATTGTCTCTTAAGATTTGTCGTATCCCTTGGATGCGTTCTTGTTTCACGAGTTTCTTCCTTGGATAGGAGAAATTCATTCTGTGAGGACCCATGTAGGGAACCTTCTTGTCTGTTCTGTTGGTTGATGCGAGTGAGGCTCATGTGAGCGTAGGCGACTGCGATTCATTTCCATTTCATTGTCTGGTGGGGTGAGACGTGGGCCAGGGAGGTACCGTTTAATTCCCTTTCGTCGTGGCTTTTAGATCTAAGGCCTTAAGCATAATGGTGCCAGTGTCATTGTTGTCAGAGTTTTGGGATTAGCTACCCCAACTCTCGCAGATGCCTGGTTCCCGCGGTGCTTTTGGTAATGATCATTTTCGACATTGATGTCATCCGTATCAATAGGTTTCTCAGAGTTGACCTGGTTGGGGCATGTTATGAACTAGTGCCTTATACCGTCATGCTACCTTGCTGACGAGTAAGTGTGGGCGGGTTCTGGTCACTGTCGTACTGCCTTGTCACTCTATTCTTTCACTGTGTTTGATGTTTTGTTTTCTTAGGATTTCCTCGGTGGTTGACGTTGAGTTAATGTGCCGATTCGTATAAGGTGTTGTCTCAGTTCATGGTTTCACGTTCCTTCAGTTGATCTTTAGACTTTAGGATTTGTCCTTCAGTGCAATGTGAGCTGTCCTTTGATTTGACCTTCTTCGGTCATTATTTTGTTCTCTCTGGTATGTTCCTAATTTCAGGGACCAAATTCCTTTAAGGAGGGTAGGTTGTAACGACCCAGTCATTTGTCTTCCTTTCATTTTTCCTGAAATTTTACGAATGAATTTTTTTCGTTTAGTTTTCTTTTTTGAGCTCTGTTTCGTGTCGCTTAGTGTCATCTCGAGTGCTCGGAATTGGTTCCTGAGACTCCTTTCCATGGATTGACAACTTCGTTTGAGGACCGAGTCATTTTCACATTTTCGTTTTTCGGCACTATGCGCTACTTCGTCCTTTTCCCTATTCTGTCTTATCTCTATTTGTCAGTTTTTGGCACAACCTCACTTCTCATTCTTGGAGTTGGTTTTTGACTTCACGTGCCTTCATCTTGAGTGGTTTCCTCGAAATACATATCTTTACTTTTGCAAAAAAGTACTCTGGTTGCTCCCGGTGCCCATAGGGGCATGGATGCATAATTCTTTAGAATCTTTTTCATTTCTTGGTTGTTTTTTGTAAATATCTTTTGAAGATATTTTATTTCAGGGGCATCTAAGAAAATATCTTTTGGAAGATATTTTCATTCTGGGGCAATTTCGCAGTTAACCCTTTTTGTAGGGGCCATTGTGCAATTAACGAAAATTGTTGCAAAAATGTCTCGTCTGGAGCCTGGATCATCGTACGGGATTCATTTTCACTTTTCGTTGACTCGTAAATTCATAGAATTTCCTTCTGGTCATTTTTCTCCAGTTTCAGAGTTTCTGGACCCGGTTGCCGCCGAACTTGTTCGGGACATAACTTTTTGCTCGGGACTTAGTTTTCGACGCCGTTTCTTTTTTTGTTCATATTTTCTTATTTTAAATCTTTTTTGTTCATGGAGTTTTGCCGTTTGAGCGCATTTGCTCAAAATTCACTTTCCGGACCTGACGGGGCCCTTTCGGGGCACTTTTTGAGATTTCTATAAATAGGTTGCCCTAATTTTTAAAATGAGATTTTCAGACCTTTTTCCTCCTCTTGGCTGGCAGCTATGGGAGCCCAAGGGGCTGCCTTCACTATTTCTTCTCCTCCACTTGATTTCCTTGGTAGAAATCCTTCGGCCTTAGCATTTATTGCTTCCCTCGACGTGCTCTACCTTTTGCCCTTATTAGAATCCATTTCCGACGATTTTTCGAGTTCGAATTTGGAGTCAAGTTAAGATTTTCATTGGGCTTCTTGCGGATTCTTGTTCACGGTGTTGTCCCCGGTAAAACCTCTCGGTATCGTCGAATTCGGAGCACTTTTATTTTGGTGGGCCTTTGGGATTTTCATCTCAAATTGAGGTAGGAGATGTTCTAGGTTTAAATTCTTGTTATATAGCATGCTTGTGATACTTATACTGCTTGTTTGCATGATTAAATATAAATTCTAGAGATTTTATTATTTATTTTTCTTGTACGGGATCTAATTTTCCCGGTTGCTCATGACTTGGTTTAAACATGTAGCTTGATTTTATATTGCCCCTTGATATTCTCATTGTTGTGTATTAAAATTGGAACATTTGAATAAGTATTAAAGATTTTATTTAATATTTATCTTAGGTGAAAGATTAATTCACATGACCTTAACTAGCTTGAAATCAATATGTGTTAGCATATTAAATTAGGCCTTAGCATGCTCTCCAACATAGTTGAATTTGAAAGTGATTGGAGGTGTTTTGAAAGTTAGTAATTATTAATTAATTTAATTAATTAATTTTCCCCGAGTGCACTATTCACTCTTTTTGAATTTCGACATGATATTCTTGATTTACATGCCATATAGCTTCACATATATTTGATTTAGAATATTCGGTTAGGTTTTGAAACCTTTTATTTAATTAAATTCCATGTTTAAGATTTAATCCTCATGGTGATATACAACTTGGAATTGTATTGTGGCATACTAGAAAATTAAGCTTAGGTATAGTTGTCCTTCCAGCGGTGTGCTCGGTGGCACCCGAATCTACAGTTTTCAGAAATGACTATTTTGCCCCTGGGGGCTTATTTGTCATATTTTCGATCTTTTGCTTCCGCATTAGTTCTTGTTGAGTTCCACGACCTCATGGAAGGTCACTTTGACTTCTTAAAGTCTTGTTTTCCGTTTTTGCTTCCACATTCGGATCCGTTATCGGATCATCCTTACGGTTCATCACAGGACACGCTGGCCTAAAAACCAGGGTCGTCACAGTCTTACTTCAATTGAAGGTTTGCTCTCCACCATTAAGGAAAAGCTGTAGTGAATTTGGGAAGTCTCAAGGGGGACCTTGAGCCAAGGAGTAGGAGTTTCCGAACCTCGCAAAATTACCAAGTCATTGTTTGTAATCTTTTATCTCTATCTCTCTTATACTTGTGCCATATATTGCTTGAATATTTCAATTGATTTGTGCTTAAAAGTTTGTTAGATTTAATACTTTATAAATTGCAAAAATTGGCCCTTGACTCTATTCACCCCCCCTCTAGAGTCAATTAGTGACTAACACTTACTTCTACCAACACTAGTGGTTCTGGTAGGGCCTCAGAAATGCATATTTATCAAGTCCAGAGCTATTGAAGAGTTGATTTCCTTGGAAAGAAATGACACTTTGGTTTACTTTCCTTGTTGACATGCTTTACAAACGTGATCATCTTTAAAACTGATGTTAGGCAGTCCTTTAATAGCTTTCAGCTTCAGAATCTTGGACATATTTCTTAATTGAAGATCACCTAACCTCTTGTGCCACAACTTTGCTTTATCAAAGGTTATTAAATTACATTGAGTGACCTGACTTTCTTCAGTGACTATGTACACATTTCCTGAAGATCTATTAGTTGAGAACAAAACTTGTTTTGATTCAAGATCAATCATATTGCATCTTTCTTTATTAAAATATATCTTCTTCCCACTGTCACATAATTGACTAACACTGAGGAGATTATGCTTGAGTCCTTTAACCAATAGAACTTCGTGGATTTCTGGAAACTCTTCAGACTAACTCACAGTACCAATTCCAACAATCTTAGCTCTTTGATTATCTCCAAAGATAACATTTCCACCATCAAACTGCTTTAACGAAATAAATTTGGAACCATCATCTGTCATGTGTCTTGAGCAACCACTATCAACATACCATTTATCCTGAGTATTACAAGCTTTAAAGGCTGTATACACAAGAAGACTCACAGAGTTTAGCTTCTTAGGAATCCACATCATTTTAGTCTCACCAATGATCCTTTATCCTTAACCTTCTGAGCTGAAGCTAAGTCTAACTTCTTGACATACATTCTAGTTATCTTGAAGTTCTTTATAGTTATGGTAACAAAATATTTCTTACTGAAGCTTAGAGCACTGCAGGTGTTATTAAGTAACTCATCCTTGAACCTTCGAGGCTTTATGATAGGAAACCTTGTATACACATCACCAGTTATGGCTTTGACAAATGCAGTATGAGTTTGATTGACCTTTGTGGCTGAGTCACACACATAGCCAATTCCAGTCTTCCCAACTTGCTTTGTGGATTGCTTCCAGATCTCAGCCATTTTTAGAGATCTTTCTTCTAGAATGAGAGACATTTCTTTTTTACACTTCTTGGTAGACCACTGAGTGTTGACTTGAGATTTCAATAGGCTTTGAAAAATAAGAGAGACTGAACACAGCATTGACAGTTTAAGTTTGAGGTGTTTAGTGAGAATTTGTTTGGACTGGAATAATTCTGAGCTGAGCCTTTTTATTTGAGCCTTCTGTTGATCACACTTCACTGCAAGCCTTTCACACTCTTTAAGAATTTCCTCAATCTTAGTGTCACTATTTTTTTCAACTTGAACAAAAGTTTGTGGTGCTTCAAGAATGGCAATAAAGAGACATTTATCTTCTTGTGTCTCCTTAGGTTTTTCTACTTTAGGATATTCATTTGCTTTTCTACCAAACCTTCCTTTATAGTTTCCTCCCTCATTCTTCTTTTGACTCTGCCACTTTGAGTTTGGACACTTAGATGCAACATGACTAGGTTTACCCATAGCAAGATAAATTTTGCAGCTGATTCTTCTTTTTAAACCTGAACTTTCTAAATTTCTTAGCAAGATAGGCAACCTCATCTTCTTCAAAATTATCTTCAGACTTTGCTTCAGTTTCTTCAACAACTTCCTTTGCTTTAAGAGCAGCTTTTCTTCTATGAGCAGCTGGAACACCAATTCTCATTTCATAGGCAGTGAGAGAAGCCTGAAGTTCATCAATCTTCACTTCAGAAAGATCTTTGTCTTCGAGAATTGTTACTTTAGGATTGAATCTAGAGGTGAGTGACCTTAGTATCTTCTTACAAACACCAACATCCTTAATTTCTTCACCAAGTGCTCTCATATTGTTGATAAGGTCATTGATCTTGAACATGTACTGAGTAACAGTTTCTCTATCTTCCATCTTACACACCTCATACTGAACTTTGAATAGCTATATCTTGTTCTCCTTAATAACCTTATTTCCTTCATAAGCTGCTTGAAGAGAATCCCACATTTCCTTAGCTGTTTTACAATTTTTAACTCTGGTAAATTCTTATTGACACAAAGCACAGAAGATAACATGTTTGGCCTTGCCATCATTAGCCACAACCATTTTATCTTCAGCAGAGGGGTTATCTGGATTGAGAATTACAACATCGTGTATGGTAGCATGCCAAACATCATAGGACTGAAACATTAAGAAGGCTTCCATTCTAGTTTTCCAAGAATTATAGTTTAAACCTTCAAACCCTGGAGCTTGGTTGATAACTTGACCTTCATCCATTGCTGGGATCAACTGCAGGCTTGTTAGAACCTTACAATGCAAACCAATGCTCTGATACCAATTGGTTAAATCTTTCAAAGAATAGATAACACAAGATTTAAAAGGAAACCCTCTTAAATAGGGAAAACCTTGGTTTTTGGCCTCGGCCAATAAGCAATCCACTAGTTGTATGTATCTTATTACACACTCAGCTGTCTCACTCTCTGTACACACCTATGCACTAGAATGACACTAGTTTTCATAACCAATACACACACACTAGGACACTTTAGTGCATTGTGATACCCCTCGATTCTAGAACCACGGGTGATCAAGTCCGGGCACAGATCCGAAGGATACTAGACAATCAATATATAAACAAGCAGGAATAAAACTGAATTAAGAATAAAATAATGATCTGCTGAAAAGAATTCTAATTGTAAAACCTCCAAAAATAAAAGTTTTAATATAAATTAACTTTCCAATCCGTACAACTCAGGAATCCAACTAGTGGACCCCTAATAATCTCAACTGATAAAACTTTACAGAATAAAATCCAAAACTAAAACCAGAAAGAAAAATCCTATTTAGTCGGAAGAGTGAATGACTGTATCTGTATCACCACGAACAAGCTCTAAACCTGTTATAGACGATCACCTGAAAAATAAGGGTGGGTCAGGCTCACATGCAAGTTCCATGCCACTACAATCCATACATAAACCCGATACGCAGATACATCCTAGATAGCTCAACAATAGCTAAGATAGTCCATATAGATATATGTACACACTATAGGACGTTCACCAGCCCACATAATCCATCTCAACCCGAGTAGAACAACCAAGGAAACATCATCAGGGCTGGTTATCAATCCTAGGCGATATATGCACCCTAACCATGATCAGGAGACTCAAGCTCGTATCACGGCACTTAAGTATATATTTAAATCTCTTCCTAATACAGAAAAGTAAAGCAACCATCCATTATGTCGTTCAACTGTTTTAGTTGACAGGACATGCATCCATGTAGGAGTTAACTGTTTGAGTTAATCCATTCCATATGTATGAAAGGGGTAGGACTTAGCTTTTTTTTTTTAATCTAATCCATCCCTAATATGTCACCGTCCCATACCGGTACATATATCCATCAATGATGCACACATGTTTGAACATCAAATCCATTCGGAAACCAACACAATAGAAATCAGATATTGATAAGATCCTATCATGCATCCAGTATATGTTTATAATCATAGATCCTCTTTTTAAATTGTTAAAATAAGAATAAACAATTTAAACCATCCATTTCCATGTAATTGAACGAACCAAAATTAAGACAGTTCAGCAATTATCCTCCATAACATAATATAATGAATATCAGAATTTTAAACTGCACATTATACTAGAATTCCAAATCAACACATCCATATTAGTTCGTTTTAAATGTTAAAATGATGACTAGCATTTACATCCTCCCAAATCCTTTACGGCATGCAAATCTATAATTAAATCTCATGGCATCTATGTAATTCCCCATTATAAATTCTGTGTCGGATATAATGACACTCCAAAGTTTAAGTACATCATATGAAACTTCAAAAGTATTTTATACTAGTTTTATTTAATTTGCTAACACGAAACTAGCAACTAACCTTCCACTACTCCCGACAATATACAACTTATTAGATACGAGTACATGACGTCATAACCAACATTCCTGGAACTGAACTATGCTAAATGTATCATTGATATAAATTCTAACAATAATTACAATGTCAGTCCAAATTAAGTTGTCAAAACAACTTAGCAAAACAAGCATTCCTCCTTCATTGACAGTAGGCCTATTATAAGCTTATGTTTTATGACATGCATTTAGGTTTAGCACCTTAGCATAAACCAACTATTTGAAGGCTTTAACAAGTTAATTTTAATCATTTAAAACCCCCCATCACTTTCCAGTAATTACCTTTAAGCCCCTGAACTTCAGAAAAATTGCAGAAAACACTCGTAGGGGTTTTTTTTCCTATGGGAGCCGGCTCCCCTTTATTGGAGCCAGCTCCTAGGCTTCTAGAGTCGGCTCTCCCTCATGGAGAGCCGGCTCTCTCTTCATGGGAGCCGGTTCCCACCATTTAGGAACCGGCTCTCACCCCTGAAAGCCCCTCTCTGCTTCACTGCTTCGTCTTTGCTTCCGGCAGAAGTTCCAACTGTCTGTCCTAAGTTTCTTAAGGATTTTTAAAGGTTCAATTTAAGCCCTAATACTCCTATAAACTCCCTTGATTCTATTACCAATTGTTCTATAAAAATCCAAACAATTACAGGGCAGTTTATGCAGAAACACCCATCGTTCCAATTTCAAAAACGCAGAACTAATTACAGAAATACTCTAACCTGCCTACAATCCATTTTAAAAGTTTAATTAACTTCCTAACCATCCTAGAAACTCTTTACATTCCATTCCAAATTAATTTACAGAGGTTTAACTCCAGCTCACAACAGTTTATACATACGAAGCAACTTCAGTTACAGAACGTGAAACAGTTATACACAGATTACAATTTAGTTTGTCATGTATACATATCTATTTTAAAGTTTACTTAACTTCTTAACCATCCTAGCAACTCCTCACATTCCATTATGAATTAATTTACAAGAGTTTAACACATAATCCTCACCGTTTATGCAAAGAAACAAGCTTCAGTTATTTCAAAGGTTCCTCAATAAAAGTCCGGCAAACATGCATCAATTATTAGTTTTAAAACTTTAATTAATCCCCTGGAGACTATTTAGAATGCACAGAACACAAGTTTACAGGAAGGAGATAGAATGAAACTTGCCTATGAGATTTTGAATTAAAACCTCTACGCCGTCTCTACGTTTCAGAATTCCCCAGATTGTTTTCCTCATTTGATAAACCTTCTATTCCTCTGTTGCTTCTTTACTTACCCACGAGCAACTCCTCTGCTCGTCCTCTATCCTTCCTCCATTAGCCTCACAGATTCTCTCAAGAACCCTCTCTGTTTTCCTCTCAAAATACTATTCCGTGAATAAGGTTTTGTTTTTGTTTCTCCAACCCTAGTAGACCATACAGTTTTATATATATAGGCTGTTATTTAACCTATGTTTAATTCAATTAAATTTAAAAGTTGGCTACACCATGAATAAATGAAACCCTAACTTAAATTAAAATAACCCTAAAATATAAACCATATAAGCCATAAACAAGATACGTCAGTTAAAACCAATTAAATTAAAATAAATAAATAATTAATTTAAAACACCAATTCAATTAAACAATTAATTTAAAACCAATAAACAATTAAAATAAATCAATTAATCTAAAACAAATAATTCACACTTAATCAATTAAACAAACCAATTCACTATATAACAATTAAGAAAACAAAACACATAAGTCACATAAGTAAAATAAAAAAAAATGCAATAAAAATCAAAATTAAATCCCCATTTTATCCTTTTGAAAACTAGGGGTATTACATGCATCCACGCACTCCCTTTGTCCGAAGCAACCACGCTTGGACCCAATAAGCTCTCAAAGCTTACTCAACAATGGGGTGAGGATGTAAAGCCTCACTACCACTCAACAATGGGGTAAGGGATCATGCCTTACTGCCATTTACAACAAGTGTTAACACACAAAATACAATTCAAATAAGCTAGACAACACAAAAATCCAAATTGCTGCCTTAGAACTACAATCCGCTGCATCAAGTGTTCGAGGGGTAAAATAGAAAATTCCTTTTGAGATCAATTCACCAGCGCCTCATGCAGTCTTCTTTCATTGTTGTACTCATGTTCATAACTTTGTATAATCAAGCACAACATGAGTATATCATAAGTTCAGTCAAAGTCCTTGGTTCAGCATATAACAGCTTCAGCATAAAAAGCTTCAGCCTAGATAGCCTCGGCATAGAATAGCCTTGGCACAGAATATCCTCAACACAGAATAGCCTCGGCATAGAATATCAACAGCACAAAATAGCCTCGGCACAGAATATCTTCAGCACAGAATACTAAAAAAGAAAGCATACCATATTTTTGCTACTAACTTAACTTAAACTATCTTGATTCATCAAAATATACTAGCTAACAGCATAGATCATCATGAAATAGCTAAGTATAATCAAATAGCACTTAAATCCAAGATTTTTTCAGAAAAACAAGCTTAACTACTGATCATACTGTCTAAATTCATTTTTAGCATAATCTCAACACAAACACAATCTGAATAAGTGTGAGAAGATGAATTATACTTGTGTCAAACCTTCAGAATTGATCACGGAAGCTTGAAACACCAAGTCATTCTTTAATATAACCCTTGTATTAGCAAATTTGACAGTAGCCTCATCTCAGCAAACAGAGCACGCCTTAGAGTTGATTCATTGAGTTTTTCTTGCGTGGATCATCATTAAATAGCAGAGAAAAACTTGTTTGGCATAGTATACTTGAGGGGAGCAGCTTAATGTGTAATGTAAATTTCAAAGGCTTAAACCCTTAGAAGCCTTATAGTAGCATATTTATAGTGACTCTAAATTTCACAAGGCCTCACACACCACGGATATACACCTGTCACCTTTCACCAATGATTAGGAGAACACAATTTAGATATTTTCAGAGCAATGGACCAATGCAGGCCTGCCA